GTAGGTGTCTGCAATTTTAGTATTCATGTAACTTACCCAAGACTGCCCATTTCACCAAGCTGAAACCAGTTTAGTTGTCAAATAAAAATAACTTGTAGCACTTCACCTTGTCATCATCTCTTTCCTGGTTCTCCCTTGGGTACCCAAAGCTATTCAAAACTGAATGCTGGAAACCATCAGAAATAAAAGTCTGAATTTAAAGATCGATCTGACTGGAAATTCAAGCTTATTTTTGACTTTGCACAACAGAGAGAAGCCTCTTTATCTATCATCCAATCATGTCAGTTGTTTGAGGTAAAGCACCACCCCCTTCACCACTAGAAACAGGGAATTCCAGAAGCTGGAAAAGAGGATTGCAGCAATTCAGCACACACATCGGAAGATGATTTGCTTTTGAGAACTTGTTTTGAGCCTACCACCTGGCCAAACAGCATCACCACCATTATCTGTAAAATCTGAACATTTACTTGGACAAGAAGGTACAGAGACTGATTGCCCTGTATCAGTGTGGAATTTACTTCTTTGAAGAATGAATTGAGGAGGCTACTCGATTAGTTAAAATAATTAGGAGTCTCTCTTTTTGCTTGATTTTGGGATTTCAATGTCACTTTAAGTCAAAATCAAAGACACATTGAGAAACATGAGAAAACAAGCCTATTTTTGCATGGTTTTCTCATAGGTTATTCTCTCTAGGTAATAAGAAAACAAAAAGTTTTTGAACAAAGGAGAAGCCAAATTTGGAGGAGAAGAGATATTATTGAACATGAGTCTATATTTCTGAAGAAGAATTGCCTAGAATTATATATATATATGCAAGGAACACAAACATCATCCTTGTGCTTATATTAGGAAGTATTTTAAAACATGCGATGTATATTTTAAACACTTTTCTTCTTTTGAATCTTGCCTTGCACACAAAGAATGCTAATGATTACCAAACGGTTCTTTGGCAGAGTAACCTGACCCTTAAAAAAAGAGAGAAGAGCTGTTATAGGATGTGATTTTAACACAAGACAAAGCTATAAATCTTCAACCCTAAGAAGAATTTTAACTAATGTGATGATACCAACCTAGGGGGTTACCCGGGAACATGCTTTTTCCATTGTATTATGTACATTACATAGTAATGAATGACAGTTTCCATGACTCCTAGTAAAGAGAAGTTTCTCTTTATTAAGAGAACAAAGTAGGGGATTTACAGGTAATATCCGGGCTTATCATTGAGCTGTTCAGACTCCTCATCCATGCCTCAGCTTGTCTTATGAGTGTCGGTTATCTCAGCAACAAGGCATTCTATCTCCAAAAGAAGGTTTCCTCCTACACCCTGTAAACAAGACGATGAACATCTTGTTCTGTGTGCTAAAATGGGTTGAGTGAAATGAGCATGGCTCTGCTCTTTCACTAGCTATAATCAGTTTTTCAAATCTGCACTATGTCCCCACACATGGCTTATACAGAACAGGGATGTTTGTGATGACGCATTCCTGAGAAGCAGCAGTTCTAACAGCTCAGTGACCCAGCTATTCCTTCCAGTTTCTTTCTGCTGTGACATTGCCCTAACTCCTTACCCATATGCTAACAATTAGATAATGACTCCATAAATGTGGAGAAAAAACAGTGTCATAGACGGTGGGTGGTTTGTTTTCTTAGTTCATTATTGAAAACATATGGAGATGTTTATATATAAATAGAAAACAATAGAATGTAGCCATCATGTAAGCAGCAGATAAAAAAAAAATTCTATATGAATTGAAATCAAACATTTCTTTACCTATGCCAGAATTCTGGTTTACTGATATCTGCACATCCTGTCTTATTTGGCTTGAAAAGAAGTTTTCTGTTTTAGGCTTTTTATTTCTAATTGGAAGGAAATTGTGGCTCAAGAGTTTTTGCTTTTATTTTATTCCCTTCTTTGCTTAAATTAATTATTAGTAGGAACAATAAATTCTGTAATATAATCATGACTTTAAAAAAAAATCTGTACACTTGTTTAACTGCTGTCTCCATATTTCTGAATTTGAAATGGGGCCTTGTGGCCTGACATAAGTGACTTTAAGGAGACATGGCAGTAGAGAGGTTGAGAACACATGCTTGGAGAGGCTGAAGCCTGGGTTTGAATTCTGGCTGCACCACAATACTAGCTAAGTAAACTTGGGAAAGTGAGGCAACCCAACTAAACCTCAGTTACTTCATCTGTGAAATGAGATTTACAATAGCACTTATAGAATGATTATGAGTGTTACGTGGGGGTGAGCTGTAAAGCATTTCATACAGCATCTAGCTTATAGGAAACATCACAAAAATGTTCCCCATCATCATTATAATCAGCTAACAGAAGGGTATATATTGGGAGCATCTTCGAAAATCTGAGCAGTATTGATGGCCAGTACTAAGAACAGTAACAATAATGCTGCCGTTTATCAAGTGCTGATTATGTGCTAGGCTTTGCAATGCACTGTTTCTTACAACTCCATCAGCTGGGTACCATTATCATCCCCATTTCATAGAGGAAGAAACTGAGAGCTTCCATGGACTGCCCAGAGTCACACAGCTAAAGATTGGTTAATATGAGGATCAGACCCAGTCTGGATAATTTTAAAGCCCTTACTCGTTCTCTCTCTGCTAAAATGACTACTACATATATAACCGATGGCACCTTGAAATCTCCTTGATTTACATTATTCTCCATGTTCCTGTCAACATCCTGTGACATTGCACAGTGGCATTCACAAACTGTCCCCTGTCCCTAGGACATCTGTTTATTTGCAGCTAAAGAGGGCCAGGAAGCATTTAAGGACATGTTGCTAGAAGTGCTGGGCGTTCAAGTCACACGGGCACTTTCACTTTAGTCTACAGGCCATTTCTTTAGAGGTGCTTGAAGCTCCATCTACACAAGCTCATTATTCAAGCTTTTGTCCAAACCCACAGGTAGAGAAGCCAAAGGTCAAGGTGACATGACTTGGGGACAGAGAGGACATCGACCCCCCCTCGGTAGCCCAGTGTGTCAGTTGATGAGTCAGGAATACAGCAGAGTGTCCTAGGCTCTGTCCACCTCACCACGCTGCTCATTGGTGTTGGGTCTGACAGCCAAACTACTAACCAGGTCTATTTTTAGCCCAAATAGTTCATAACTAGGAACACTTACCTGATTTTCATGTTGGATGAATAGAATCTAACTGCAATATGGGAACCTTCACATATAAGATTGCCCAATTCTGTTTGCATTTGCAAGCTATACTGTAATTTTCTTTTCTCTTTTTTGCAGGGGAGAAAGTGAGTTTGGGGTGGTGAGATATGGCAGGGCATACAATGGAAGAGGGTTAGGATTGCCAAATTATGTGTCAACCTGCTGACCTAGCATCAGTGTACTAGCTAAACAAATCCTGTATGTAAGGCACTAATGCAAATAATTTGCATATTATTTACTCTAATGATGTTACCATAGTGCAATAGCCACAGCTGAAATCTGAGGTAGCACTTTTTATAATAAATGCCTTGGGTCTTTTGCTGAAAATCACCGTGAAGACAGAAATCCCTTAGACGTGAGAGTGGAAATAGGAGCAGACTTCTGCTGTGTTAACTTTCTCTTCATTAACAACAACTAAAGTGTTAGTGTCCCAGGGCTCCATGTTCAGGCCTATAAATGCTGGCAACATCCTCCTTTAGAACCAGTCACTGCTCTTGCCTTTAGTCATCACAGTAGGCTTCCATGGCTGATAGGAAATCATTGTAAAACTGAATCTGTCTGGAAAAAAAATACTCATGAAATCCCCTAATTGTCACACAAGTGAAAAATCATCCTGATGCAGAACAGTCATCGCTTTCCACTCCAGTGTCATGCTAGTGATGCTGCTTGGAGTTTTGGAAAGCAAAATGTTTCAGAGTCAGCGCTACCATTTGCTACCTGCATGACTTAGAGCAAATCAGTTGACCTCTCAGATCCTTTCCTACAATAAATCTGCTTCGTCTATTTTATGGGTTGCCAAAGAACAACAAAGGAGACCTCAGATGTGAAATCTCTCTGGAAGCACCCTACAAATGTTATCATTGATTTTTACTAAGTGAATAATAAGGAATAAATAGCAGTGCTGTCCAAGGATAGCTGGGAATAACTCAACTGTGGTGGAGGTTGGTCAATCTTGAAGAAGAAGATGGTTCCTGGGAAAAAGATGGTCTGACCAGTTTGAAGGGCCTTAAGCTTGCAAGTCTTGCAACTGGGTAGCAATTTAACTGTGCAACCTGTCGAGAGCCTATTATATTTTAAGCTCTTGCAGTGACGATATTGGCAGCATTAAATCTCTGTGTGGCATTCTTACTATACTTTATTTGCAAAGAGTTTATAAACTAACAGCCTTTCAGAGTTGCCTGGGATTTGAGTGTTGTGGTTTTACACCAGGGAGAGCAGTGTTTCATGTCTTGTTCTATTACCTCCCTCCCTGGGGATTCCACAGATGGAACAACAACAAAATCAGAAACCCAAGACAAACCTGTCAGTTTGATGCCTTCAAGCTCTGGCAGAACTCACAATTAAAATTAGGTAGAATATCTGTTTAGAGGGAAGAGGTGCCAAGACATAAGTTCAGAGCATACTTTCTATTATTGAAGCATGGCCAACACTAGCTGGAGTTCCCTGCCACACAAGAGGAATCTGGAACATGGTAGACACTTCAGAAAATTGGTTGAAAGAACATTATTGTTAGTAGAAATAATAATAATTTAACAACTTTAACGTGGGGCTTGATATTTCCCTTCATCATATTTTTTCCCTTCATCATCTTTCCAAGTCAACTCAAGAGTTTGGCAAATCCCAGAATGAGTAATTGCACATCTTAGAATGGTTAGGTAATGTGCAGGCCAGACCTAAGTCAGGCAGAGTACCATGTATATTTGAGACAAACGTGAGGAGCTCAAGTATTTGGTTATTGTTGTTGTTTGATAGTTCCCAAGGAGAAAACACAGAAACAACAGATATGAAGCAAATGCTTTTCTCTTTTGTTTAGGCAAATGTTTCTAACTACAGTCTGGTGATGGAGTCTGACTCAGGGACCTTCTTACCCACTGGACTTCAGTTCACTGGCAGTGACAAGGCCAGGGCCATCATGGAAGAGGTCATGAAGCTCCTGCAGCCTCTCAATATCACTCAGCTCTTGAGCAATGGAGAAGGGACAGACATTAACTTTTGGATCCAAGCTGGAGTGCCTGGTAAGACCAAAAGAAGTTGTGTTGTTCCTCATATACTGCTCCCAATTTAAAAGAAATGTCTATGTTCTAGTAGGGCACAATGGATACTGGTAGACCAATTAATGCATGAAAACCTTAAGAGTTTGTCTATGAGGTATAGTCCAATGATTTCCAAAATTGGGATAATAGAACTCACCTAGCATTTGTTTACCCATCTCTCTCTCTCTCTCTAAATGATAAGCTCCTCATGCCTAGAGATTCTGATTTAGTGATTCTGGAATTGGGTCCACCAATCTGTTATATTCTTTTGTTTTTTAGAGAAGTATCTATTTGAAAAATAGAGTAGAAGGCATATATTACTACTAACATCCTCATAGTTCTAGTGTTGTACTAAGAAAACTTCACTGGTCCAAATAATTCCCTCTGCAAATACTGTGGTATCTGGAATTTTGCCATTAGTAATTCATTCTTTGAGGGTGGGGTACTTCTTGCTAATCATGTCTTTCCTTAATGCAAAGACTCCTGTTAAGAGGTTGAACAGAAACTAATTTACCCACAGCAGTGATTTATCATGTGAATATCCTGAAGAGAAGTCCTAAGTCCCTGGGATAAGGGATGAAATTATGGCATGGGAGTAGATTGGGGGAGGTTACAGGAATAGAAGCTGGAACAGTCTTAAGGAAAACAAACTTATACTACTTCACAAAGTTGCCTAAGACTGGTCATGGAAAAAGATGATTGGTTTTAAGTGTTTGTGACCCAAGGTTGGTCCCTCAACACCATTATATCCATAATAAAAAATATTGTCAAAGGCTCCATCTGTAAATTGTAAATTCTGTAAATTCCTTAGTGTATTATACAAATGAGAAGCCCAGCCTTTGAACAGTTTTAAAATAACTGTTTCCAGATCTATTTCTGTGGCTACAAACATTTCATAGGTACAAAAACAATGTCTCTAGACCCACTACTCTCCAGCTTCTTTTTTTCAGCCTGCAAAGCATATTACATAGATTTAAGATTCTTAAAAATCTTATTGTTGAGATATTATAGAGTTAAGGCATATTTTAGATTTGAAGGTTTTTAAAAGATCTTTCATATCTAAAAATAGAAGGAGTTTTTCTTTATTCTAATGCAAAGACTCTGATTCCATTTGTTCTGTGTATATTTTAGCCATATTTTGAAATTCTCTCAAAGCAACATTTCTATTTACAGTGTTGTACATCCCCTGGAAAGATCCAAGACTCTCTTTATATTTGTCATTGATAAACATGATCTGAGTACTGGGGAGAAAGTTTGCTCTTTACGTTGTATAGAATCATTTGTCTGAAATTTTAGATTTTTCCTGAACTTCCCAATTTTCAATAGGAGCTTTTGAAAAACTAAGAAACCCTAAGTTAGATGCTGGTGGTAGCTATGAGGAAAAGACTGATACTTAAGGTATGAATTTGAGTGGAGACTAGGGGTGCTCAAGGGAGAGATGAGAAAGAGCTGACACCTAAAACAAATAGGGACAAAAAGATGTACCTCTCCCCCCAGGCATTTCTTGCTTTGTTGTATTTGATCATTAAGACTAGGCTCTAGCTTTACATGTACATGTTCCATAAGAATGGTTCTGTTTGGAATGAACAAGTTGACTTGACCGTCTTTACCTGGGGTGAAGAGGCCTTTTCCCTCTTCGCCATACTGAGATAAAGTCAGGTTTGATTTCTACCTAGTGGAGTGGAAAAATTGAGCCCCTTATTGTTGCCTAAGAATTAATAAGCATTCCAATGTATAGTCCTCCTGCAATTTATGAAGTACTCTGTTAGTCTTTTTGCAGTTTACTGTTTTATCCATACAACCATCCTACGAAGGAGATAAGATTACCCCTTTCTTTGCAGATTCAGAAGGGTTAAAATGGCTGGCCTGAGACTATACTGTTCTCAGGGTAGAAGTCACCCTGAGAACAGACCATTTGGGCTTCAAGGCTGGTGGCCTTTTTCCCACAATATGCAACATCACAGGGAAGTCTGGAATGCTGAGATGGTCTTCCAAATCCCTGGCAGTGTCTAAAATGTTTATCTTACTCAGCTCTTGCTTATGCAAAGGATTTCAGTTCATTCCTGCTCCAGAATAATTTGCCCCTGTGGGAGAAAAAAGTTTGTTATTGTAAATAACTACTTACTTCTTCTCACATTCTTTGTTCTACTCCCCTCTTTACCTCTGTATCAGAAAGGTTTACTTAAAGTCAGCAGTTCATTTAGACTACTATGACTGTTTCCTGGAATTCTTTTTTATTTCCTTTAAAGGATTAAAAGACAGGATCAAATTATTGTTGTCTTCCCATTATTACTTTTGAGCTATCTTTTGATATTTCAAATTTAGGTTTTTCCTAGAAGAAACAATGGAACTGCTTATATTTTGTTTTGTTTCTTTTTTTCTTTTATTTTTATGAGACAAGGGTCTCACTGTGTTGCTTAGGCTGGTCCCAAACTCCTGGGCTCAAGAGATCCTTTTCCTTAGCCTCCCTAGCAGCTGGGATTACAAGCACATGCAGCTATGCCTGGCTGGAACTGTTTGTCATATAACTCTTGTCACCTATTGAAAACTTCAGAAGCAGGAACTTTAGAAAAAAATGAAGAACCGAAATTGATCTGAATTAGAAAATAAAAATATACTGATTGTGTACTCTACAGTCTTGAAGATCTAGCAAATCATAGTAACTTAAAACTAATAACAAGTTATGATTTAAATAACTGATCACCTAACTTTTAAAAAACTGAAAAATAATATTTCCAAACTCCATCCATTCATTTTTCTTTCTCTTTTTCTTTCCTTTCTTCCATTGATCCATTAAACATTCACTGAGTCCCTACCATGTTCTAGGCCAATAAAATTTCTATAATCTGAGATGACTATATGATAATTGGGCCAATTTTTTAGTATTCATGTGTACTGAATACTGAAATACTAATTATAGGAGCACAGGTAGAATTAAAATTCATCATTATTTTTATTAATTATTGAAGACAAATAGATCAATTTATAAAATACTTACCTTTGGGAGAGGAGAGATGATGTCCTTCATCCTGATATCCATAATGGACAGGGAAAATACCAACATAAATATAAGGCATTGAGGGGAAAATATTTTTTGTAATTACATTTTGGATGTACTTTCCACCTAAACTCTCTGTTCTAGATCTTCATACCCCATTCTCCTTCCATTTCTACCTCCTTTCATACTCCTATTCTTCCCCTCCCAATTCTAGATGTTCTTTAAGTCTCACTCTGTATTCATTATCGCTCATGAATCCTTCTTTAGTCAGTGGTGCTCTATTGCATTTCTAAACTTCTGAATTACTTCTAATGTTTATCCCACAGTCTGGCGCTTGATTATGCACTATGACCTTGTTCTTGGATTATTAGGAGTCTATGTGCATCTTGTCTACCAAGAACCATAACCTGAAAAGTAGATTTTGCCAACAGCAGACACTATAGATTTAAAATTTGTAAAAGCTTATTCTTGAGCTATTGTCGATCAGTTCTTTGAGATTAAGGTCAATGATTTCTACTTCTTTGCCTTTTCTGTAGCTCTTAGTTTATTTCAGGGAAGCACTTAAATTCTTGTAAATCTGACTTGAAAAAGAAATAAACATTGAAATAATTGTTTTTTCAACAAGCTTTTGGACCTCTCACATTAAGAATATGGAAAAAATAACGCATGCTTAAAAAGTATTAAAAATATTGGGAGAATGATATAAAGTAGGAAAACTAGAATGATAAGGGTTATTTCTCTCCCTGGAGCAAAGACTAAGAGAAGATATGTCTTCTAACACTTTAATGATTCTCACACATAAAATGGTGAACAGTCACTCCCTGAAAACTTTGAAGACAATGCAATAAATGACTGAAAGCGAACTAAGAGGGATTTAGGTTAGTCTCTATTCACTCCAGATAGTGGAGAGACTTTAAATCTTAACATTCTGCCTGATTCTCCAATTATGAGCTCCAAGTTAGAATAAAAGAAGTTTGTTTTTTTGTTCTGAATACATCATAAACAAGGTTCTTAGATGTCCCTAAATGCAACCTTATTGAATATCTTCTTTCTTTAGAAACTATTCCATAAAATACGCTTTAATGAAAAAAAAAATTAGATATCCTCTTGCTGTACCTGAGGGAGTGAGCCCACTACTATTCTATATCTGCCAAGGAGAGTTTTTTAGCCTCTGCTTCTGAATGTGAGATTCAACTTTTTTCTTGATATTACTGTCTTTTGGTAGACAGTGTGTTGGAAAGAGTTAGAGGCCTTGTGTGGGTGTTCTGGCTTTACAACTCTAACTACATGTGCAAATGATGTAAGTTTTCTAAGCCTCACTCATGTATTACTAAGCATCCTTCTTAACCAACTATTGTGTGGCACTGTGGAATCAGTAGTAAAAAAAAAAGTCACAATCCATACCCATACAGACTAGTGAATGAGACTTAGTTATTTAATTTGCAAAATGAGTGTGATAACCTGCAAATCATCATTTCTACCAAGCATCCACATGTGTTATTTTTCTTCTCTGTCCCCTATTTCATTGACTGGCACCAAGATCCAGAAACCTTAGAGTAATTCAGGACATAAAACCAAATGGTTTCCAAGTCTTGTTTATTCCTAATTCCTCCTATTTCTTCCTTTTTTTAGTTTTTATTTTAAATATGTGGGTAAATGGTGCTGGGAAAACTGACTGACCACATGCAGAAGATTGAAACAAGACCTCTACCTATCACCATACACAAAAATCAACACTAAATGGATCAAAGACCTAAACATAAAACCTCAAACTATAAATACCTTAGAAAATGCAGAAGACACCCTTATAGAAATTGGAACTGGCAACCAATTCCTGATCAAAATTTCAAATGCCCATGCCATAAGAGATAAGATAGACAAGTGAAACCTCATCAAATGGAAAAGATTCTGCAAAGTAAAAGAAACCATCAAGAGAGCGAGGAGACAGCCCACAGAATGGGAAAAAATATTTGTCAACTATATATCTGACACAGGCCTAACATCTAGGATCTACAAGGAACTCAAACATGCCAAAAAGAAAAAAACTAACAGCCTTATTAAAAAGTGGGCAACAAATAAACACAATCAGAAACACAAAAGAGGAAGTCATATCTGACCCTGAAAAAATACAAAAGATCATTAGATTCTACTATGTACACTTGTGTGGAAACAAACTTGAAAACCTTAAGGAAATGGAGGACTTCCTGACATCACACAACCTGCCTAGGTTGAAACAAGAAGAAATTGAGACCCTAAATAGACCAATAACAATCAAGGAAATTGACTACGTAATAAGAAAACTACCTACAAAAAAAAACCCTGGACCAGATGGCTTTCCAGCAGAATTCTATAAGACATTCAAGGAGGAGCTGATACCAATCCTACTGAAAGTATTCCAGGCGATTGAGAAAGACGGAACTCTCCCCAAATCATTTTATGAGGCTAACATCACATTGATACCCAAGCCAGTTAAAGACCCAACAAACAAAGAGAACTACAGGCCAATATCTTTGATGAACATAGATGCTAAAATTCTCAACAAGATCCTAGCAAACTGGATTCAACAACACATCTCAAAAATCATCCATCATGACCAAGTAGGCTTCATCCCAGGAACGCAAGACTGGTTCAACATTCACAAGACAATAAATGTAATTAAATACATCAACAGACATCAGAACAAAAACTACATGATTATATCATTAGATGCAGAAAAAGCTTTTGATAAAATCCAGCACCCCTTCTTGATCAAAAACCCTTGAACATCTAGGCATACATGGAACATACCTCAAAATAGTAAAAGCCATCTATGAAAAATCTACAGCTAGCATACTCCTAAACAGACAAAAATTGGAACCATTTCCTCTGAAAACTGGAACAAGACAAGGATGCCTACTCTCTCCCCTCCTGTTCAATATAGTATTAGAAGTCCTGGCTAGAGCAATCAGAGAAGAGAAGGCAATCAGGGGTATCCAAATAGGAAAAGTGGAAGTCAAGTTATCTCTCTTTGCAGATGACATGATCGTGTACCTTGAAAACCCAAGAGAATCTGTCAAAAGCCTCCTTGCATGGATAAAGGACTTTGGCAAAGTCTCAGGGTATAAAATAAACGTGCAAAAGACAATTACATTTATTTACACCAATAACAAACAAATAAACCCAAATAAAAAGCACAATCTCATTCACAATAGCCACACACACAAAAAGGAAATACCTACTAGGAATGTGAAAGACCTTTATAATGAAAACTACAAAACACTGCTCAAAGAAATCAAAGACGACACAAACAAGTGGGAAAATATCCCATGCTCATGGATTGGAAGAATCAACATTGTGAAGATGACCATCTTACTTAAGGCAATCTACAGATTTAATGGAATACCCATCAAATTACTAGCA